AATGACATAGATAGACATAGATAAACGTGCAACACATGCATAATTATTCTTATTAAAAAATAAAATGAAAAATAAAAAAAAGGATAACCTACGGTCGACAACCAACATTAAAGTCGGTATCGTTGCCAGCTAAAGAAAATCGAAGAAGAAGAAATTAATCTTTACAAACTCTAAGGAAAAAAAAGAGGGAAAAGTGTTTATAGCTTTTATATACCCTAACATGTAGTGTTTTTTTTACTAGTCATGTGATGCTCCACTGCTGCTAGACTCCACAAGAAGGAGCTTGTCTGAGAAGGAGACAGACAGGAGCTTTGGCCTAAGGAATTTCAGGTACATTGAGGACATCAAAGAAGCTGTGGAAAGGGAGTGTCGTCATCCTGGAGTTGTTTCTTGCGCTGATATCCTTGTTTTGTCAGCTAGAGAAGGCATCGTTTTGGTAAAATATCTTTTGACCCCTCTTTAGATCACTCATTGTCTCTGTTGACGCCGTCTTTTGGCTTCTCTGAAGCAGAGGTTTCAACTTCAATTTCATGAGTTCTTATCTTAGTTTAAACCGAATACGTACTGGATGAATTTCTTAGTCTAGTAAATTACGAAGTTTAGCTTGTCAGACACGTAAAAAAAATTACGTTCAATTTACTTGCTTCTGCTTGGAGGTCCTTACATCCCTCTCAAAACTGGAAGAAGAGACGGTCAAAGGAGCAGAGCAAATGTTGTGGAGGAGTATCTTCCAGACCACAACGAGACCATCTCTCGCGTTCTCGACAGATTTGCCGCCATGGGTATCGACACCCCTGGAGTCGTTGCCCTCCTAGGTACAGCTTTGCATCTTTACACCAACATCACTAAATATACATGCGACTGTGTTTGTCGCATCTTTTTGGCTCAAGTTTAGTTTTCTATATTGTGCAAAACAGGAGCACACAGTGTCGGCAGAACTCACTGCGTGAAGCTGGTGCACCGTCTGTACCCAGAGCCCAGAGGTTGACCCTGAGCTCAACCCCGACCATATTCCACACTTGCTCCATAAGTGCCCTGATCAAATCCCAGACCCCAAGGCGGTGCAGTACGTGAGAAACGACCGGGGGACACCCATGGTTCTGGACAACAACAACTATAGAAACATCCTGGACAACAAGGGCTTGTTGATTGTGGACCACCAACTGGCTTATGACAAGAGGACCAGACCTTATGTGAAGAAAATGGCCAAGAGCCAAGACTATTTCTTCAAGGAGTTCTCCAGGGCCATTACTCTCCTCTCCGAGAACAACCCTCTCACCCGTACCAAGGGTGATCAGGAAGCAGTGCAATCTTGCAAACAAGCTTCACTAAAATGCTTCTTCTTCGCTAAAGAGACCCGACTGTGGCCGAATAAAATGGTTGTCGGCAGAACTCACTGTGTGAAGCTGGTGCACCGTCTGTACTCAGAGGTTGGCCCTGAGCTCAACCCCGACCATATTCCACACATGCTCCATAAGTGCACTGATCAAATCCCAGTCCCCAAAGCGGTGCAATACGTGAGAAACGACCGGGGGACACCCATGGTTCTGGACAACAACTACTATAGAAACATCCTGGACAACAAGGGCTTGTTGATTGTGGACCACCAACTGGCTTATGACAAGAGGACCAGACCTTATGTGAAGAAAATGGCCAAGAGCCAAGACTATTTCTTCACGGAGTTCTCCAGGGCCATTACTCTCCTCTCCGAGAGCAACCCTCACCGGTAACAAGGGTGAGATCAGGAAGCAGTGCAATCTTGCAAACAATCTTCACTAAAATGCTTCTTCTTCGCTAAAAAGACCCTACTGTGGCCTAATAAAATGGTTGTTTCTTGTCCTAGTCACAATGTTTTTGTTCAGTGATCAGTAACGGTACTGGTTTGATATGATCAATTGCAGTTTTTAGGATGGATGTTAGTCATGGGAGCTGTGGATGTTAGGATGGATGATGTAATGTATGTATGCATGTAAGGATGGTGTTGACTGTTGATTGTGTAATATGCATGGATTTCAATTATTTTAATGGTTATGATGATTCATGCATATACCCCTTCCTTCCCCCTTGCGACATCATGCTGATGAGTGCTGATTATTCGGATATGTATCAACTATGAGAAAGACCCATCCCGAGGACGACAACAAATAAAAGAGACTATGGCCCTCCAAGTGTCCACCAAGTTGGATAAAAAGATTCCAGCCGATGGGGTATTTAAATGGGTTGGATCTATGTTGATAAAAGAAAGATCTACACGGAGGATATGACTCCATTCTGTCGATAAATATAGGCTTTTGATTCATATTTTTTTTATGGGGGCCGAGTCACGCAATGAAAGCTACACTGTAATATGAATTATAACGCTATGGACAAAGGCTCCAATGTACGGGGGTGACATCGATAGCGATGGCCACTAATTATATCATTGGATTCATTCGTCTCTCTGACTATTTAAATCTGGGATTAATGGTAATGAGTTGTTACTAACTTCAACTTGCTATATTGCTGTACGTCCAATTTTTATGGCGTAAAACATCAAGAAATACGAACCATGTAGCTAAAGAATTGCAAGTTGGCCCTGGGATAGTGATACGGGTGGAAGATTTACATTATGTTTTGTCTAGTGAAGCGTGTTTGAAAGTTTCATAATGTTACATTCTGTTATAATTCGAACTTGAATCAGCAGGGGATGTAAGTAGGACGGAGGATGAGCAAATGTTTATCATAAAATTTAAATTTTGTTTGATTGAACTTTCTTTTTACAAGTCATGTCTTAAGATTTCATTTGTGTTCACGTGAATCTTACCTACAAACAAAATTATCAAATATTTTATGGGTTTTCTGTTACGGGTGTGGATGGGTTATTTTTTATTTATTAATATGAGATAAGTATAAAGTAATATCTATTTAAAAATAATTTTAGGTGGTTTGATATTAATGCTCACATCCTTAATAGTCATAGTGTTTGAATTCGGTGTCTCTAAGAATAATAATTCTTTTTCATGCGTGTGTGGGCGGACTTTGAATTAAGATCCGGTCGTCTAAATCAGGTAAAGCCCAATAGAGTTTCATCAGAGAAGGGTTTGTCATCCTACGAAGATAAGTAACCTGTTATTTGCCGACATGGATCAACAAATTATAAGCTTAAAAAAGGGCCATAGACAGTGAGCCCAGGTTCTTGTAAATCGCAAGTTTGCTATGTTAGACAGACAAACGTTTTGTAAACAAACCCAAGTTTCCTAAGTTTGGGTTTAGACAATTGCTGTGCGAATCTTAAGAACCAATCGACAAAGGAAGCTAAAAACATTGGAAGAGTGGGAGTTGTGAGGATAGAGAAGAGATATTGTTGTTTCTTCTTGGTTTCAAAGTCATGTCGAATTGCATGGATCACACAAAATGAGAATCTAATGACAAAACTACTTTAAGCAATAACCCATTGCGAGCAACCAATGGGCCCCAAAATATCCAGAGAGAGAGAGAGAAATGAGTGGAAGGGATGGTTATAAATCTACAGAATTTGAGGGTTTGAAAGTCATATTCTCACAAAAAGGCATTCAACCATCATCCATCCATCCTTGACATTGTTTCACCTTTGGTTACCACGGCTCTCTATGTCTCTCTCTCTCTCTCTCGGAGCATTGTTGCCGTCTAGTAGTGTTATCATGGGTGGGTCATCACCCTGTTTTCTCTCCACCCCTCACATTCAATCAAAATCAATTTTGTCTTGTTTTCCTTCCATACATCAAATATGGTTTTGGTTATTTCTTTTCCCCCCTCCCTTGTTAATATTCCTTCAGAGACACTTTGTTCCACTTGTAATTGTCTCTATATACATTATTCAAAAATGTGAAATGAGTTTAATATCATTAATTAGTTGTTGCATTCAAATAAATCAAAAAAGATAATTTATGTAGAATTCAAAATTTGAGCTAGTAAGGTCAAGTTCGAATCGTACTACTGTTACTCTTGGTTGACAATATGTAAATTATTATGTAAATCCCAATTGAGTTTTAGGTATGCCCTGACCGTGGATTGGGGGAGATACTTGTTACTTAAACTTTCATGTACCAAAAAAAATTAGAATCGTATAAAAATAATCTTTTATGAATTATTAAATAACAATTTAAAATTAGTTATATCTTTAAAATGTATTAAATAATATATTGTAAAATATTTAATTAAAAATTAAGTGCATAAAGTGGCTGCGTAATATTCAACCCAATAATTGATTAAATAAAATGTTATCATTGCCTAATAAATAATTAAAGGTTTATGAGATAAAATAAATAAATAACCTAAAAAATTATAGTAATTAAAGTTTATGAGATAAAATAATAAAGAACCTAATAAATAATCAAAGTATTTTATTTTTTATCCACATAATAGGCATTCTAATATATATAAATAATTATTTGATACTTTATCAATGAAAAGAACTACAAAAAAACAAACGAATTATGAAAAGTGTTTCCATGATAATTTTAAAAATAAAAAAAAAATATTTATGATTATTTTTATATATATACAACCGTTACACTTAATAATAATCTTTTAAATGTATATTAAAAAGGACATCACGCAACTAATCTTAAATTCAAGCTTTAATTAAAGCCTACTTCCTTCAGAACTTTTAAAAAACATAACTTTAACTATATATTGATAATGTTTGCATTAAACTTAAAGTTTCTGTTCATTAATTTTCTGGTTAACTATGAAGCTAAATAATTTATAAGATAAATACAAACTTCAAAAAATATAATTCAAATTTTGATGTGTAACTTTTAATAGCATACTTTGAAATGAGAAGTATGTTCTTGAAGGACCTAAATGGCTGTCCTTTAAATTAGAAGCACAATTTTGGAAAGTACCGAAGAGTTTTCAAAACAGAGGCCCACGCCATTGAAACAGTAAGATTGTTCTAAACAACAGTAGTATTGCGGATGCCCTAAAATGGAAATTTGTGTTTGCTAACATAATTTGTTTCTAAAATTACTCAGTTAGAGAACACTGAACATTGCAACACGCGTTTATCTTCCAAATTCCAATTCAATAACAGATATATTTTTAGTACTCCTCAATACAAAATCCTGGTTGAGCTCCCTCGCCACCAAGTTGACTCATCTGTGTCGACTCAGCCGAAACATTGCCCAAATAACAAAAATGATACGATGAAGTCGTTTTTTAATCAATCATAATTAAGCTGCTTTAGGCTTCCCCCAAACTGACTGACAAATTGGCTAACCATCGAACCCAGTTTGGCTCCATACTGCATCCCTGACCCGGCTCAGGTCCCGGCCCTTGAGGGTCCGACCCACGCCTTCGAACACCGAAGCGCCGCTAGATTTCTTACTCCGAGCGTACTCACGCGCCAAGTATTCGTGTGGCGGCACCATCTCCGAATCACCGACATCCAGCCCATCATCCGAGTCTTGTACCCACTCCACCGAGTTAACTCTGTAAATCTTACTCCAGTCAGGCACGTTCACTGGAGCTGACGTGGCCATATGATGCCCACGTGGCGAATCTGCGGCCGCCACGCCATCTTGGCTACGAAACTGGTGCACGATCCTATGTTTCGTCGAAGAATCCTCGAAAGCCAAGGACAGCCCACCCACGTGCCGATCGCCTCGCGGAATTCGACGGCCATGACTTCCCCTCACGTCCAAATTTCCATTTCCGTTCCCGTTACTCTCAGCTTCAGCGTGTGGGCTCCACTGGCATCGTGAATTGTCGACAGTGGCGGCGGCGTCTCGGTCTTCGACGTTATCAACTATCGACCAAACATCTTCTTCACCAAGTTCTGCGTCGTCAACGGCAGTGTCCCCTTGGCCGTGCCCATAGCTAAAGCTTCCGAGCAACCGCTCGCTTCTGCTGGTGGTCAACCGCCGGCCTTTCGCCATCAAACAACTAAATACTATTCAATACCAAAAACCAAAATATCAAATATCGAAAAAAAGGAAACTGAAACAGAAATTTGTAAAAAAGGGGAAAATTAAGAATATAATCTAGGAGGGAATGGAGAAAAGAGGGTGGGGTAATTTTAAATTGAGTCCATTAGAGAACAGACTCGATGGGGAAGCCATTAATATATAGCGTTTAGGTAATGGGACAGTGGAAGCCATTTTCATTTCATGTGAATTTAGAGTTCATTTTGTCCTCATTTCATCTCCATTCCCACAACCTTCAAACAGATCAACGGGCCAAGAATATAGAAGATGCCAATATTAACACGAAACTGTACCATGGCAAATAAATAAAAAGGATAGTAATGAAAAAGGACAAAGAGAGAAGAAGAAGAGTGGTCTCACACGCTTTTTTCTGGGCGTGTGAAACATCCTACTTGGTTGCTGTACGAAATCCTGAAAGTAAAACTTAAATTGGAGTTTGGATCATTCCTTATATGTTCTAAGTAACTTCGCTGTTCAATTCACGTATAAATACATTTATATTTTTCTTGCTTTTCTTTCTTCTTCTTCTTCTTCTTACCAATAAATTTTGTGCTTGCGTTTTTAGACATTGCATGGTTGGTTAAACGAACTAATCAAATGAATCGATTTAACTTCTTGATTTAATCAGTGTTTGATTTATTTAGTTTTGATAATTTATTTTTGGTTTTGTGAATTCAAACATGAAATTAAGTATTATAATATAAGATTATTTATTCCAATTTTTTAATTAAATGCATATAAAATTTAACTTAAAATATTTTGTTTTTTAAATAATTTTTAAAATATAAATTTTCAAATCAATTTAATCAGTTATTTTGATTCGTTTAAAAATATTTTTAATCTGATTATTTCAATTTTGAAAATAAAATCAGTCTCTTCTATTTAACTTTAATAAATAAATTATATATTAAGTTATTGATATAAAAAATTGAACCAATCAAACCAACTATTGCATGCCTTATAATTTTTACCTTACAGTAGAAAGTAAAATATATATATCGATTTACAAAACAAATACATGTTGAAATATAATTTATATATTTATTCAATAATAAAATATAATTTATATTAGGATTAGGGGTTTTAACGATATTCATGTTTATGTTGCGTTTTGTGCATTCTTCAATCAATAATACAAAACGTATTTTTACAAAAAAAATGTGGTGTAATAATAAATATTTAACGTCCAAAATTTATATATATATATATATATATATATAATACTTAAATTTTATGATTATAAATAAATTATTTGTTGAAACATTTGCTTCGTAAAAATATATCAACAGAAAAATAAAATAAAATGGGAATTAAATAATATAGAAGATAAGGCAAAAATCCAAGTGTAGAAGGGCAACCAGCCAACCACTGGAATGAAACAGTAACACTAGAAATAATATAGAAAAACATTTAAGGAAAAGAAAAGAAAATAGGACTTATCAGCTGGTTGTTAGAAAAAGAGTGAAGAATCGGCTAAAATGAATCAAATGATAATTTTAGGTTAAAAATAAATATTATATTTATATATTAACATTTTCATAATTATATTGAGACGTATTAAAGTGGACAATATATTAAATTTAATAAGCCTGTCTTATCTAGTCTCGAAACTCAAATTTAAAAAAATTGAATTCTATCAAATTAAATTGAGTCGAAATTGGTTAAGTTGGAATATTTTTAGAGAAAATCGTCTCAGTGACAAAAATGCCTTATAATATACGATTTTAACCAACTTTTTTTGGATTTGCCAAAATGACCAACAAAATCGCAACGCGAAATAAAAATCGCAACGCGAAATAAAAATCGCAACGCGATCCCCAGAATCGCAAATCAGTTTCCAAAATCGCAACGCGATTCTTGAAAATCGCAATGCGATAGTACAAATTCGCATTGCGATTTTCCAGAATCGCAACGCGAATATGAAAATCGCAACGCGAACACATAAATCGCAACGCGTATCCGTAAACCGCAACGTGTATCCGTAAATAGCAACGCGTATCCGTAAATCGCAATGCGTATCCATAAATCGCAACGCGTATCCGTAAATCGCAACGATAATCCGTAAAATCGCAACGCGTATCCGTAAATCGCAACGCGATTTTTAAAGCGCCATTATAATCGCTACGCGTATTTTATTTTCAAATTACAAAAACGAATATTAAGACAAAATCCCGTAATCGCAACTCATAACCTAAAACCTAAAATCACAACTCAGTCTCATCTCCATCTCTCACTCTCTACGGCGAATTCCGTCCCCATCTCCGAAGATTTCCGTCCCCATCTCCGGCGAAATCCCTCACAACCATTCACGGTCAGAAATCCCTCACAATATTCAGAAATGGAAAATCAACCTCCGAGGGTTAGTTTTTTTAATTATTTTTATTTTGAAATTTTTGCATTATTGTAGGTTTTTCATATTGAAACTGATGATAAGTTTACTGGTCATTTCAATAATAGATTAACCATTTCACTTAGATTTCATTTCGCGGTGCGATTCTCTCGTTGCGATTTTCATTTCGCGTTGCTATTCTCTCGTTGCGATTTTCAAGTTAGTATTTGTCTTTGTCTTTGTTCTGTCTTTTGGTTGAAGTAATGCAATCCATTCAAGTTTCAATTTGCAGAAGAGTCGCAACGAGAGAAATGAAAATCGCAACGTGAAAATGACTATCTGCAACGAGAAAAATGAAAATCGCAACGAGAGAATCGTAACGCGAAATGAAAATCGCAACGAGAGAATCGCAACGCGAAACCAAAATCGCATTGCGATTTTCATTTCGCGTTGCGATTCTCTCGTTGCGATTTTCATTTCGCGTTGCGATTCTCTCGTTGCGATTTTCATTTCTCTCGTTGCGACAGTCATTCTCTCGTTGCGATTTTCATTTCAACCAAAAGACAAAACAGTGTTGCAAATTTAGTTTCAAGAATAAACTACTACTTTTTATGTTTATTGTTTTTGGTATATCTTCACAGTGTAGTTTTTGGTATATCTAACTTGGTATGTTTATTTTTTTGTAGAAATTTTTTTCGGCTTCATTGACATTAAGGAATAAAGTTAGCCTAGCCACTACAATTGCTTCGAAGCTTTCACCTGCACAAAGACAATTGTTTGAGGAAACCTGCTTCGGGCCATGGCTGAGAGTACAGCATCCGGGTGGAGATGCTAATTTGACCCATTTGTGGCTTCAGACCATGACATCAAATCTACCCGACAGTATACAACGTGGTGAGGAAGAGATATGGTTTCATTTTCCACCAGCGTATACTTGTTTTGGGCGGAAGGAGTTCTGCTTAATCACTGGTCTACGATTCGGACACGATGATGTAGGCCGATACACTCGTCATATCGCCCGCCCATCATGGTTATCCCGGGTTTTTTCGGATGAGTCAATGGAGAAGCCGAACCTACACGTCGACGACCTGAAGAAATTGTTTAATAAGAAAGATGGTTTCACTCGGATGGATGACGTCGATGTTGTCCGAGTATGCCTTCTACTACTTGTGTATGCCGGTTTTTAGGCAGAGAGGCCAGACAACCTATTCCTCGGGAGCTAATAATATTGGTAGAGGACCTGAATGCATGGAATCTGTTTCCGTGGGGTTCGTATATATGGAAAGCTACCTGGACTAAGTTGTCTACTGCCTTTGATGACCGCAAAAGTTTGCGTGGCGATGGGTCGAAATACACTTTGTCAGGCTTTGTTTGGGCCTTTAAGGTAAGAATTTCTATATAATGTTTCTAAAATTATAATTAATTATTTAACAATTACTAATTTTGTTATTATATTTTTGTAGATTTGGATATTCGAGGCTTTCCCCAGCATACGTACATATGCAATAAAAACGTCAAATGATATTCCCAGGGCTATTTCCTGGAAGAGGAAAAATGTTGGATTGGGAAGACTTAATACCATATGCGACAATAAATAATGTAAGTTAACACAAATACTTTCATATAATATATAAACAAGTTATTAATAGTAGACGTTTAACTTTGTTTGAGTTTTTATATTGTTAGGAGGCCAACATTCCATTACAAAGACTGACACCCACGGAGGAAGAGCTTGCCACTGATTGGTGGCAAGCTAGTCAGAGTTTTTTTGATGGCACGGATGATGAGCACATCCACTTCCTCCAATTCGAGAGCCATCAACTCACCCAGAGCCATCACCCGATCGACCCGACTATACACCTCTAGAACGAGAGCCATCACCTATCCCGTCACATCATCGAGCCTCTTCTCCACCATCACCTCATGATAGGCGACCGGTAAAGAGGCCACGACATTTATCTCCTTGTTCTCCACCTCCATGGGATGAGTTACGTGATGAGGTCAATGCCTTGCGTGAGGAGATCGGTACTCTACGCAATAACGATGGTGCATGGCGTGTGGAGGTGTCAACTTTACGTGGTGAGGTTGCCGCTCTACGTGAGATGATAGTATCGTTGCATAATGTGGTTCATACTCTACGCAACGAGGTAAGTTTAAGATTTTCCATATTTAACTTGATGATAAATTTTCCATACTCAAAGTGTCCATCTCTATATATTTTGATATGAGTTACCGACCCAGGAATTTTCAGCTTTAAATTGTGACAATAAGCCGGCAGTTGGGCAAACGATGCTTCTGGCGACCCCCTCAACAATTCCAAGGCATAACATTTGGCTCTCCAAGCTTGAGAATATGATATACTAATCTTGAACCGAGCATTCATGTCAGTCATAATTTCATGTCCCCGATATACCCTGCCATTCAAAAACATTAACTCAGCCAGAAAACCACCCAACACCTTTTGTTTGCCTGTCTATGGTGAGGAAAAACTTGGGTTCTTGAACATGTATGTTTATCAATAAAAGTCCTAACTTGAAACATTTCGCAATCTTTTATTCTCTTTGCAATCATACGCCACGTACAGTTTTTGTCAATCATACACCTTGTTTCGAAACGATCTTTGCTTGATTTGTTAACTTTTAGTTGATAGCCATCTTCCACACATTTCGTATACAAAGCTATCTTCAAGTCTTCCTTTGTATCAAAACAATCATCTTTCTTGATACGAATAACTTTTGTGTAACAATCAACTGCTTTCTTTACCAACTCTTCTTCCGGTATCTGA